CTAGACAACACCCATCACTGATACAGACTAGACAACACCCATCACTGATACAGGCTAGACAACACCCATCACTGATACACACTAAACCACACCCATCACTGATCTAGTATCGCAGTATTACACCCATCACCGATACAGACTAGACAACACCCATCACTGATACAGGGTAGACAACACCCATCACTGATACAGACTAGACAACCCCCATCACTGATACAGGCTAGACAACACCCAGCACTGATACAGGCTAGACAACACCCATCACTGATTCAGACTAGACAACCCCCCTCACTGATACAGACTAGACAACACCCATCAATACAGACTAGAAATCTCAGCCAAGCTCATCTAATATCGCAGTATACTGCAACACCCATCACTCCATCACTGATCTAGTATCGCAGTATTACACCCATCACCGATACAGACTAGACAACACCCATCACTGATACATGCTAGACAACACCCATCACTGATACACACTAAACCACCCCCATCACTGATCTAGTATCGCAGTATTACACCCATCACTGATACAGACTAGTCAACATCCATCACTGATACAGGCTAGACAACACCCATCAATGATACAGACGAGACAACACCCATCACTGATACAGGCTAGACAACCCCCATCACTGATACAGGCTAGACAACACCCATCGCTGATACAGACTAGACAACACCCATCACTGATAGAGGCTAGACAACACCCATCACTGATACACACTAGACAACACCCATCACTGATCTAGTATCGCAGTATTACACCCATCACCGATACAGACTAGACAACACCCATCACTGATACATGCTAGACAACACCCATCACTGATACACACTAAACCACACCCATCACTGATCTAGTATCGCAGGATTACACCCATCACTGATACAGACTAGACAACATCCAGCACTGAGACAGGCTAGACAACCCCCATCACTGATACAGACGAGACAACACCCATCACTGATACAGACTAGACCACACCCATAGACTAGACAACACCCATCACTGATACAGACTAAACAATACCCATCACTGATACAGGCTAGACAACACCCATCGCTGATACAGACTAGACAACCCCCATCAATACAGACTAGAAATCTCAGCCAAGCTCATCTAATATCGCAGTATACTGCAACACCCATCACTAATCTTATATCACAGTATTACACCCAACACTAATCTAATATCCCAGTCTAATGCAACTGATACAGGCTAGACAACACCCATCACTGATACACACTAGACAACACCCATCACTGATCTAGTATCGCATTATTACACCCATCACTGATACAGACTAGACAACATCCAGCACTGAGACAGGCTAGACAACCCCCATCACTGATACAGACTAGACAACCCCCATCACTGATACAGACTAGACAACACCCATCCCTGATACAGACTAGACAACACCCATCACTGATACAGACGAGACAACACCCATCACTGATACAGACTAGACAATACCCATCACTGATACAGACTAGACAACACCCATCCCTGATACAGACTAGACAACACCCATCACTGATAGAGGCTAGACAACACCCATCACTGATACACACTAAACCACACCCATCACTGATCTAGTATCGCAGTATTACGCCCATCACTGATACAGACTAGACAACACCCATCCCTGATACAGACTAGACAACACCCATCACTGATACAGACGAGACAACCCCCATCACTGATACAGGCTAGACAACACCCATCGCTGATACAGACTAGACAACCCCCATCAATACAGACTAGAAATCTCAGCCAAGCTCATCTAATATCGCAGTATACTGCAACACCCATCACTAATCTAATATCGCAGTCTACTGCAACACCCATCACTGATACAGACTAGAAAGCCCCCTTCACTAATACAGACTAGTCAGCCAAGCTCATCTAATATCGCAGTATACTGCAACACCCATCACTAATCTTATATCACAGTATTACACCCAACACTAATCTAATATCCCAGTCTAATGCAACACCCATCACTGATACAGAAATCTCAGCCAAGCTCATCTTATATCGCAGTATTACACCCATCACTGGTATACAGGCTAGACAACACCCATCACTGATACAGGCTAGACAACACATACAGACTAGACAACACCCATCACTGATACAGGGTAGACAACACCCATCACTGATACAGACTAGACAACACCCATCAATACAGACTAGAAATCTCAGCCAAGCTCATCTAATATCGCAGTATACTGCAACACCCATCACTAATCTAATATCGCAGTCTACTGCAACACCCATCACTGATACAGACTAGAAAGCACCCTTCACTAATACAGACTAGTCAGCCAAGCTCATCTAATATCGCAGTATACTGCAACACCCATCACTAATCTTATATCACAGTATTACACCCAACACTAATCTAATATCCCAGTCTAATGCAACACCCATCACTGATACAGAAATCTCAGCCAAGCTCATCTTATATCGCAGTATTACACCCATCACTGGTACAGGCTAGTCAGCCAAGTTCATCTAATATTGCAGTATACTGCAACACCCATCACTGATACATAAATCTCAGCCAAGATCATCTAATATCTCAGTATACTGCAACACCCATCACTGATACATAAATCTCAGCCCAGATCATCTAATATCTCAGTATACTGCAACACCCATCACTGATACATAAATCTCAACCAAGCTCATCTAATGTCGCAGTTTAATGCAACACCCATCACCGATACAGAAATTCAGCAAAGATCATCTAATATCTCAGTATACTGCAACACCCATCACTGATACATAAATCACAGCCAAGATCATCTAATATCTCAGTATACTGCAACACCCATCACTGATACATAAATCTCAACCAAGCTCATCTAATGTCGCAGTTTAATGCAACACCCATCACTGATACAGAAATTCAGCAAAGATCATCTAATATCTCAGTATACTGCAACACCCATCACTGATACAGAAATCTCAGCCAAGCTCATCTAATGTCGCAGTCTAATGCAACACCCATCACTGATACAGAAATCTCAGCCAAGATCATCTAATATCTCAGTTTACTGCAACACCCATCACTGATACAGAAATTTCAGCCAAGCTCATCTAATAATGCAGTATACTGCAACACCCATCACTAATCTAATATCGCAGTCTACTGCAACACCCATCACTGATACAGAAATCTCAGCCAAGCTCATCTAATAATGCAGTATACTGCAACACCCATCACTAATCTAATATCGCAGTCTACTGCAACACCCATCACTGATACAGAATAGAAAGCACCCTTCACTTATACAGACTAGTCAGCCAAGCTCATCTAATATGGCAGTCTACTGCAACACCCATCACTGATACAGACTAGAAAGTACCCTTCACTAATACAGACTAGTCAGCCAAGCTCATCTTATATCGCAGTCTACTGCAACACCCATCACTGATACAGAAATTCAGCCAAGCTCATCTAATATCTCAGCATACTGCAACACCCATCACTGATACAGAAATCTCAGCCAAGCTCATCTTACATCTCAGTATACTGCAACACCCATCACTGATACAGAAATTCAGCCAAGCTCATCTTATATCTCAGCATACTGCAACACCCATCACTGATACAGAAATCTCAGCCAAGCTCATCTAATGTCGCAGTATAATGCAACACCCATCACTAATACAGGCTAGAAATCTCAGCCAATCTCAAAGGCAATTCAAGACATAACACAACATATTCTATATCACATGATATTTATTAGCATTACAAGGGCCACATAGCAAAATGTATTCTACAGCAATGTAAATTTTCGGTTATTTTAGAGATGAGAATATTTGACACACCTTTGTATCATATTATGTCCGATATGTCTGCCAACATTATCTGTGTTTGGCCCACTCACCTGTCTGGCACGAATAGATCAAGAGTCTCTCGAATAATGGTCTGGTAATTTTCTACCAAATTGGTTGCATATTTGAGTATTGTTTCATCACGTTCCTCCGAATAGCATTTCATGTCTGGTTCGTAATTGATGATGCATGGTCTGTAATGGTGAATCTTAGCTATGCCTGGATCCACCTCCAAGATTCTCATATCTTTGTGTATTGTTTTACTAACGTGATGGATCCCTAACTCAAATATTTTCTGTGGAGCTACCATTAGTTTTGTTCTGACAGAGCTAAGGACTTTATTTCTCAGTAATAGCTGAAGGAATGTGAGCTGCTGGGAAGGATCAGGCACCTGTTTAGGGTCAAAAAAAGCACTTTTGAAAGAAAATCCTGCAACATTATTTGATTCGGATTCAAAATTTCGTAAAAAATGCACCATGTCAGACCACGTATAATTATAAACAGGAAGTAGAAATTCATCCAGGTCAACAAAAAGTAAATATTCAAAGTCAGCCATATGTCTGTAGAGGCAGTCTTGAATGGCTAGTAATTGGCCATGATACCAGATTTCTCTTTCGTTAATCTGAGGAGAAAGCTTCCAATTTACAAGAGTAACCTCCCCTTCTTCTTCATAAAATGTCAATAATTTCTCTACAGCATCTGATATGTCATATATATAAAATGTAAGATGAGATGAACCTAAAATTTTTGATAGTTCTATGAATTGAATTAATAAAGATAGCGAAATATCACCAAATATTGGAGGAAGGCAAAGACCAAATTTCTGTTTTTGTGAATTTTCAAATTTTAAATGGGAATGTATACTTGATGGAATGGTTACACTGCTAGATGATTTTTCAAATGATTCTTTAAATGTAATTGCAGTTATTTTTAATTTAACTTGTTTTTCTGGGTGGAAAGTACTTGAAATCGATAACACAGTTAATTTTTCTAACACAGTGTTGTTTAGAATTTCCTCAGGAATTTCACATGAAAATATCCATCCTCCGTAATATCTCCCGTGGTTTTCACACATCTCGTAGCTGTGAGCATGTACCTTCAACCAGGTGTTATGTCCGTAATTAAAATGACATATCAAACTCTCGACACTATTAAAGCGCTTTAGTGCGATTATCCTCATACATGGCTGTCCATTTTTCAGGGTTGGCCTATTATCATAGTAAACAGAAAAAACGGAGATATTTCCAACACTTGTCGAACTTTTTGTTTGCAGCGTCCCACCACCATCAGAACTCTCCATCAACTTTAGAGTCTGTCTTTCTTGTTCGACCTTCCTGTATGACTGAAGGTCATTTAGAGGTCTTCTGTCTTTCTGGTTGTACACACCAAAATGGCTTTCATGCCTGTATACTGGTTCCATTTCTTTGGAGTTCTCTGGCAGGAGTTGTTGAAGGAACTGTTGGTTGTCATTGGCGACCACCACCGCCCTCTGTAGAAGACCCAGGTGTAATCCTAACATGACACCTGTGTATAGGACCAAAAGACCGGGCAGCACCAGTTTGTAGACAAGGGATAGCCGCATCGTGGTCACTTGAAAACATGGGGAGGAATCTATTATAATCTCAACCTGTCTTCTAGGTGTAGTAATAATTTTTTCCGCTGGTAGTTTGAACTATATCTACCTTCAAGAAGAATCCTGAGAACATATCTTGATCTGGAACGCTGCTGTAGGCTGAATTGAGATCATATCACAATAAGATACAGTGACAATGTACGTGAAGTCTGATGTTTTTCTGTCTCTTTTTCTATCTGGTTTCTGGAAATATATTCCAGATAAATGTGTATTCTGCCAAGTTTCAAGCCAGTTTTAAGTAGACACTCTTCACCATTTAAAAGATTTGATTTTAAGTCTGGTGAACACTCCTCCTCTACAACACTTGCACCAAACGTTCTGGTGAGGAAATGTCCTTGAGTGAACTAGTAGCGGCAACCATCACTCCAGTTACCCCTCCCCAGCCTAATCACAGCTTCCAGCAGCCGTATCTGTACTCAATCAAACATCAGATGTGAGCCGCTACATGTTTCATGTGTTTTGTCCAAGATCTTTGACTCTCAATCACTGAAAATTGATAGGAGCTTCCCTGGATTTGGTCCCTGAAGACATTTGATGTTTTTTGTATGTGTGTGTAGCTGGGGGACTAAAACACTTGCTGGAGATGTCAGCCTGGGACAGCTTCTCCTGCTAACCCTTCATCTGTAGGGCAGAAAAATACTGTCAGCACCTGTTTACTTCTGTCACTACCAGGGGGTGCACTGCAACAGACAAAAAATCTCCATAACATAAATACTTTGTGATGTCAAAGATTTCATTGTTTGTCACAATAATTTAACCACACTTAATTGTAATAGAAGCTAGATTACACAGGATTTGTAGATAAATTTGGTTTGTGTAATTAGTAGTTTGTTCTTGATTGATGATTGGTTGAATGAAAAAAGATTAGAGAGACAATTAAATGTAGATTTTCATTATCAACTATGGAAAAGACTTATACTTATTTTTCTCATGCAAGCTTTTTTCCCCATTTTACAATAAAAAAAAACTTAAAATAATGAAATTGACATTTTTTTCACATTCACTGAAGTTCTTCCAGTTATGAATGGAGGTACATTTTAGTTTCATAGAATTTATTTCGGTAAACATCTAATATGAGGTTATATATCAACTGACCAGAAATCCAAAAAGCTGATTACCTGTAGATGAAATACACAACAACCCTATCCAACCCCAACCCCTTCACCTAAACAAAAATAAATTAAAAGGTGGAGGGGGAGACACCTCCACAAAAATGCCAATAAAATAAGAATACCTGTGGATTATAATTATCAAAATACAGTGGGGAAAACACTTCCAAACATTTATAAAATAAAAAAGAGGAATAAAAAATACTTCTGTGTTAAAATATGTAAACAATTCAAAAATGCAAAAAAAGAAAAATTCCCTTAAAAAATTCCTGCACAGAATTGCTGATGTTTACATGATAGTATAGGTCGGTGTCTGACAGGAGTAAAGATAGGACTCAAGATAGGGCCAATCAGCTCCACCGGTCTATCAGACCCTTGTCAGGGTGGCAGGGAATTGAACATATCCAAATTAATTAATTCAAGCATATTGATGTATGTTTGACCCTGTACAAAATTTAGATTCAGATTGAGAGTACTTCAAGACAGACAGGTTTAGCTGTCTGTAGTCTTTAAACTGTCAACATTGATGAAGCTGAGGCAGGAGTTATCAGAACAGTGGACTCCCCTCCCTCTGATAAAGGGTTTCAGATTTCCTCACCACCCTGATACTGTCAGCCCCTGTACTCCACAACACATAGACACATACGTACTAAAGTATTATTAACATTGTGCCATCTACACAAATTCAGCAATTCCCTTCTGGCAACATGCTGTCTATATTTACAGAATTAGACATTCTTTTGGTTGTAGGAAACATTAAAAAGTTCACACAGTAAGATTTGTCTCACATGGAATGGTATACGAACATTTCCAGAAGCCTTAATTCAGCATACATCCGAAGATTCAGAACATAATAACAAAACCAGTGCATTCAATAAGTGTGTTACAAAGCGGACACAGTCTGTCCAATCAAAATTACAATGTTAAATCAGTGTGTCCAATCAGTGTATAAAAAGCATACCCAGTTTGTCCAATCAGAACACTACAAAGTCAAGCCAGTTTATCCATTGAAACACTACAATTCCAAGCCAGTCTGTCCAATCAGAACATAACAAAGTAAAGCGAATCTGTCCAATCAGAACATCACAATTCCATATGTCTGTCTAAGCAGAACATTACAAGCCAAGGCAGTCTGTCCAATCAGAACATTGCAAAGCAAAGTGAATCTGTCCAATCAGAACATTACATGCCAGTCTGTCCAATCAGAACATTACAAGCCAAGCCAATCTGTCCAATCAGAATATTACAAAGTAAAGTGAATCTGTCCAATCAGAACATTACAAAGCAAAGTGAATCTGTCCAATCAGAACATTACAATTCCATACATCTGTCCAATCAGAACATTACAACTCCATGCCAGTTAATCCAATAAGAACATTATCATTTCATGCTTAGTCTGTCCAATCAGAACATTACATAGCCAAGCCAGTCTGTTCAATCAGGCTATTACGTAGCCAGTCTGTCCAATCAGAACATTACATAGCCAGTCTGTCCAATCAGACCATTACGTAGCCAGTCTGTCCAATCAGAACATTACATAGCCAAGCCAGTCTGTCCAATCAGACCATTACATAGCCAAGCCAGTCTGTCCAATCAGAACATTACATAGCCAAGCCAGTCTGTCCAATCAGACCATTACGTAGCCAGTCTGTCCAATAAGACCATTACATAGCCAAGCCAGTCTGTCCAATCAGAACATTACATAGCCAAGCCAGTCTGTCCAATCAGATCATTACATGGCCAGTCTGTCCAATCAGACCATTACATAGCCAAGCCAGTCTGTCCAATCAGAACATTACATAGCCAAGCCAGTCTGTCCAATCAGAACGTTACATAGCCAGTCTGACCAATCAGACCATTACATAGCCAGTCTGTCCAATCAGACCATTACATAGCCAAGCCAGTCTGTCCAATCAGAACATTACATAGCCAGTCTGTCCAATCAGACCATTACATAGCCAGTCTGTCCAATCAGACCATTACATAGCCATTCTGTCCAATCAGACCATTACATAGCCAGTCTGTCCAATCAGACCATTACATAGCCAGTCTGTCCAATCAGACCATTACATAGCCAGTCTGTCCAATCAGACCATTACATAGCCAGTCTGTCCAATCAGACCATTACATAGCCAGTCTGTCCAATCAGACCATTACATAGCCAGTCTGTCCAATCAGACCATTACATAGCCAGTCTGTCCAATCAGACCATTACATAGCCAGTCTGTCCAATCAGACCATTACATAGCCAGTCTGTCCAATCAGACCATTACATAGCCATTCTGTCCAATCAGACCATTACATAGCCAGTCTGTCCAATCAGACCATTACATAGCCAGTCTGTCCAATCAGACCATTACATAGCCAGTCTGTCCAATCAGACCATTACATAGCCATTCTGTCCAATCAGACGATTACATAGCCAGTCTGTCCAATCAGACCATTACATAGCCAGTCTGTCCAATCAGACCATTACATAGCCATTCTGTCTAATCAGACCGTTACATAGCCAGTCTGTCCAATCAGACCATTACATAGCCAGTCTGTCCAATCACAAAGCAAAGCCAGTCTGTCTAATCACAATTCCAAGCCAGTCTGTAGTCTGTCCAATCAAATCATTTTGTAATGCCACTCTATCCAATCAGAAAATTACAAAGCCATGCTGAGTCAGTCTCTCCAATCAAGTTAACAATCTTACAAATGGTGTAATAGCCTGTTTATGGTGATTGATGTATCTGTTAAAATGTGTTGTAATTTGTTAAGTCAAAGCACCTTAGCTGGTCTATAAAAATCAACTTTTGAAAGATATCATAATACAGTGACATTTCATTCATGTAATGCGATACAGTACAATATGCCTGTGAATTGTCACATATTATCAGTTTTATACTGTGACAGCCCTACAACGATGATATAATAAAGGTTGTGATTCAGTTAATTAACAAATTCTTTGTATAAACTAAAACATTGAAGTTAGTCATTCGTGGTGTAAAATATGATCACATCACCAGAAAGGTTCTTTATTTACTCTCTGGCTGTCGCTGACATCATACGATATATAAACCCCAGCTCTGAGGTCCCCATAGTACCATATGGTGTCAGCAAAACAATGTTTTACTAGTTCTTGTGGTTCACACTCAGAGGAATATTGAGTACAGAAAGACTTCAATTGCTATCATAAATGCTTTTGAGCATGCAGTGTGTGTGAGAAACATTAACTACATTATAAGTATACTAACCATGAACTTAAACGAGACATGCTACAAGTGACCTAAAGATGGAATAACCATCTTGTTTGAAGTATCATGAGATTTAAGATTTCTGAACACTTATATGCACTCCAGTAGTAACTACTTTGGTAAGTTGTACAGGACTACTGGTGATGTCAGACTTTGATTGGTCTGGGGGAACACATGTACACACTCGAAACCACTCCAACACACAGATACGAAGCTCATCTGCCACCATCCCTTAAACAATTTTAGAACCAATTTTTAGCCAAAAATGATGACTTCACAGTTGGAAATAATGTTGTCAGATTGAAAACACATAACAACTTATATGTAATCTACAATATCATCTAATTGAATTCCAGTGATAGCTTAGAGTGTGTGATGACCAGTGATAGCCTACAGTGTGTGGTGACCAGTGACAGCCTATAGTGTGTGGTGACCAGTGATAGGGATAGTGTGTGGTGACCAATGATAGCCTATAGTGTGTGGTGACCAGTGATAGCCTATAGTGTGTGGTGACCAGTGACAGCCTGTAGTGTGTGATGACAAGTGATAGTCTATAGTGTGTGATGACCAGTGACAACCTGTAGTGTGTGGTGACCAGTGATAGCATATAGTGTTTGGTGACCAGTGATAGCCTATAGTGTGTGGTGACCAGTGACAGCCTAAAGTGGTTGGTTACCAGTGATAGCCTATAGTGTGTGGTGACCAATGACAGCCTATAGTGGTTGGTGACCAGTGATAGCCTATAGTGTGTGGTGACCAGTGATAGCCTATAGTGTGTGGTGACCAGTAACAGCCTATAGTGTGTGGTGACCAGGGATAGCCTATAGTGGTTGGTGACCAGTGATAGTCTATAGTGTGTGGTGACAAGTGATAGCCTATAGTGTGTGGTGACCAGTGACAGCCTATAGTGGTTGGTGACCTGAGTGATAGCCTATAGTGTGTGGTGACCAGTGATAGCCTATAGTGTGTGGTGACCAGTGATAGCATATAGTGGTTGGTTACCAGTGATAGCCTATAGTGTGTGGTGACCAGTGATAGCCTATAGTGTGTGGTGACCAGTGATAGCATATAGTGTGTGGTGACCAGTGATAGCCTATAGTGTGCGGTGACCAGTGACAGCCTATAGTGTGTGGTGACAAGTGATAGCCTATAGTGTGTGGTGACCAGTGATAGGCTATAGTGTGTGGTGACCAGTGATAGCCTATAGTGTGTGGTGACCAGTGACAGCCTATAGTGGTTGGTTACCAGTGATAGCCTATAGTGTGTGGTGACCAGTGATAGGATATAGTGTGTGGTGACCAGTGATAGCCTATAGTGTGCGGTGACCAGTGA